ATATACAGTATTCGACGCTTATCACTTACACAAAACAACAACATAGGCGCATGCTTACATAAAACAACAACATATAGATTCTCAAGGTTATCAACTTGAAGTCTAAAATGCAACATCAATTAAATATAACAATTTAGCATAATTAGAATATCTAATACCACACATCAAGACATAGATTCTCTAGGTTATCAACTAGAAATCTAAAAGTGTGAAATCAACTAAATATAGCAATTTGGTATGGATGTACTTAACAACGTCAAAATCACCAATTGCCAAAACCACAAGTCCACAAGGTAAACATGATTGTCAACTTGGAATTGAATACGAAAACAAATAGTGGAAGACTTGGACATCACGCTCGGAATTATGCCGAGACCTCAATGGTTATTCCGGGCACTAACCCGCAGGGAAGACCACCCTAAGTGCGCACTATCTTAATGACTTAGAGGACTCACGTCCCCGTACTAGAGCCAAACCCTAGTCATCTCAACTCAACAATGTTCCAAGATTCCAAAATAAGCCAAATAAGTTCATAACTTATATATATTACTACTACATAGTAACAAGTTAGCAATATAACTCTCAATTGTGCATAATAAGCATTTCATATCCATAATGCTACGAAATCACAAGCCAATAATATATTCATATTAGAAACATACTCTCATGAATATAAACTTAACAACAATGCTCTTCAATACATATAATACAATCTAGTGAATACATCACAAGTCTAAATCCATACTCTTAAAATAGAAATAACTTCTAAAACATGATTAGATCCATGGATACACAAGATAGAATTTAATTACATCAAAATAATTAAACTCTCTAGATTTCAAATCATTTCCAATTGGCCCCAATTTAATATATGTTAATAGACATATCATGGTCATTACATATATTCACACACTAGCTTAATTAGGTCCATGAAACCACCAAAATAGAGATTTCCAAACTCAACCAAATGCTCTCAAATTAAAGTATGTTAACAAACATGCCAAAACTTAATTTAGAAGCATAACACAACTCAATTCCATGCAAGGTATGGCCATGAACTTAAATCTTTCACAAAAGATAAATATTAATTAAAAAGAACAATTCTTATTTAATAAATCCCAAATTAATATATGTTAACCAACATATTAAAACAAGAGTTTCTACCATGCCACAATTCAAATCAAAGTTATATATCATCATGAATTTTAAATCTTATACAAAGAAATAAAAATTACTAACTTTCTAGATTTGATACAAGGTACATATATAAGTTGTATAATCATGCTAAACACTCAATACAATACACACAAAAGCCTAAAACATTCCCTACCTCCATTTGAGATGAAATCTCAAATCCCCACCAAAATAAATCGGCTTTTAATCCGACGAAACTCCTAGGTTTTGTCGGGGACAACACCATGAACATGAATCCCAAGGAAGCCCCATCAAAAACACAACTTGACTTCAAACCCAAACTCAAGAAACGGCCAATACAAGATTCCAATCGGTTGGAATCGAAGGCCTCGCCGAGGGGAACAATAAACACAAAGGCATCGCCACTTTTTAATGAAGGGAAGAAGTTCAAAAGAGGAGAGAGAAGATGGCAGCCATGGATGGAGCTTGGACCGGCCATGAGAGAGGAGCGAGAGAGAAAAATCTGATTTTTCTTTCTAAGACCTCCTATTTATAGAAAAACTCAAAAAGTGCCCCGAACGGGCCCTACCGGATCCGGAAATGTGGAATTCGCACAGACGCGCTCAAATGGAAAAACTTCGTGAACGAAAAAGATTCAAAATGAGATAATATGAACAACAGAAGAAACGGTGTTAAAAACTGAGTCCTGAGCAGAGAGTTATGCCCAAAACAAGTTTGGCGCAAACCGGGGCCAGAAACCCTGAAACTGGAAAACATCGTCCAGGAGGAAATTCTAAGAGTCAGCGACTCGACGAAATGTGAAAATGAATCTCTTACGAGGATCCAGGCTCAAAACAAGGCATTGAGCAATAACTTTCATTAATTGCACAATGGCCCTACAAGAAAGTGAAAATTGCGAAACTGCCCTAGAATGAAAATATCTTCCAAAAGATATTTTTTTAGATTCCCCTGAAATAAAATATTTTCAAAAGATATTTATGAAAAACACCCCAAGAAAAGAAAAAGTTTCCAAAGAACTTTACACTTATGCCCCTATGGGCACTGGGAGCAACCAAAGTTTTTTCTTACGAAAGTAAAGATACGTATTTTATAGAAATCATTGGGAATGAAGATACGCGAAGTCAGAAACCAACTCCGAACACAAGAAGTGTGGTTACGCAAACAAAGTGACAAACGGGGAAAAGACGAAATAGGAAAAATGACGGAATAGGGAAAAGGACGAAAAGTAAATAGTGTCGAAAAACGAAAATGTGGAAATGACTCGGTCCTCAAAGGAAGTTGTCAATCCAAGGAAAAGAGTCTCGAAAATCACTCCAGAGCACTCGAGACGACACTAATTGACAAGAAACCAAACTCAGGAGGGAAAAGACAACGAAAAAAAGTTATCCGAAAAATCCGGGTCATTACATGGAGGGGAGGTCATTCTGGTTGGAACCACCCTCAGGCATAGGCCTTTTTCCTAATCTTTTTTCTGAAGCATTAACTCGAACAGGAGATGACCCTTCAAGAACCCCCAATGTTATGAGCACCATGTGGGGAAGTTTCAGCTGTGGTGTCAGAAGGGTCATCGTTCAGTGCAATAGGATGAACTTTAGCTGAGACAGAGGGCCCATCGTTTTGATGCTTCGTTAGCTTGGGTTACAACCGGAATAGGTGAAGTGGCTGCAGTGGTGGCTGGAGTAGCTGAAGGAGGGGGGCAGGACGCCCCCTCTTGCTGAAAGAGGGAATTATAATATCATTCATGGTGGACCCAAGGAGAGATATGTCAGAGAGGTTGGCAGGTGTGAGTAGGTCAGTGGCTGAGGGGATGTTGTTCAGGACTCTCTCCTTCAAAATGTCAAGCCTGGTCCTGCAAACGTTGTAAACCAACTAATCATGATTTATTTGAAGGCAACTACAAAGAAAAGTGTAGAAACGAGGAAGACAGGATTCACAATGGCAATCAAAGGGATGCTTCCTAAATTTTTTTTATTGAAGGACAGAGCACTCTCCAAAGGTGGTTGGGATAGGAAAGGTCTGAGCAAGTGGAGTTCCCCAATTTTCACTGACCCCAATCAAGTTTTTCTTCCACCCCTTTTCAAATGAGAGCTTATCTGTACAGATGGATCGCTTCTCGATGGGATTGAAGTGAAAATACATTTCGTTGTTTCTAGTTTTGACGATTCTATAGCAAAGGAGAAGGTCTATTATGTCTAATTCGAGACCCCTATCACGATTCAAAATTAGAAGGACTGATATTTCCCTAAGGAAGTTAGGATTAACTTGAAGAGGGGAAAGCCCTAATTTATTGAAGACATAACAGAAGAATGGGTGTAAAGGAAATCTGAGTACATTCAAATGAAATGCCGAGAGGAGAATCTCCCCAGGAAGGAGACCCTCACCGGTACTCTCATCCAGACTCGCAAGGTAAACCCTAAGAGAGACATTATTGGGAATATTGTTTCTCAAACGAATGGTATCCAAATTGAGGGGAGCCATAAAAGGGAGAGAGATTTTTAAGTATAAAATTCATTTCTTTTAAGGAAAGCAGCAAGAGGAAGGGACTAACCTTGTAAAGAGAATTTGCAAAATACCATGTAACAAAGCAAAAATCAAATCACGAAAGCTCACCGGAAAGTGCAGGTGGGCAACAGAAACAATCGAAGAGGATGGAGATGAGAAAAGTTGAAGAAAGGCAAGAAATGACGAGTAAAGACTTTTTAAAGTAAAAGTGGTTCGACCTTCAAAGGGCTGTGTTGAAGATGGTGTAGCAGATCTCCAAGCATCAATCCCTGAGCCGACCGTTCACTTCCCCACGTCACCATTTTGAGCCGTCATGTCATGAGTATGTCCTTTCGATAATCTCACCCTAATTAATTAAGGAGAGATTGTGGGGGCAGATGAGGATACCCAAAATAACTTGGGGCGAGTAAAATCCAGGTGATTGTGAGTGGGTTGGATAAAGACTACCGTTTTGGACCAAGTCTTCATGAATCAAGCCCAGGATCATGAAATTAGGTTGGAAGCCCGGTTTTGAATGGAAGGAGCTGAGCCCATAATGAAGAAAAGCCCAGAAAAACAGCCTAGCTCAATAAGCTAGTGAGAAAATATCCAGAAGGTCTGTAACTGTCTATAAATAGGTTGGAAATAGAGGGAAAAAGGGTTAGAAAATTTTGAAGTGTAGAATTATTCTTTCTAATAAAAGAGGAAAAATCTCTTGCATTTTTAACAGCTCTATTCATAAAAGTGCTTTTATCGTTACAACAGCAATGTCAAACCTGCACGAAGTTCATATCAAGATACAATCTCAATTCTGCTTTAGTCATCTACCCTCTCAATGATTAGACTAATTGAGCGTGCAGTGAGGGTCAAAACCAAGGTTGAATATATATATATATATATATATATATATATATATATATAAAAGAATCATCCAGTCTATTAGATGATTATCTCTACTTGTGTAATTTATATCATGATAGATATTTATAAGTATTCATTATCATATCTCACATGTGATTAAGATAATGACCCAAAACTTTATAATTACAATTAGGCATTCAACACCTCATTATTATTTTTAATCGTCAATTCGACAAAATAATAATGGATGAAAATAAATTTAAGAAATGCGATTTTTAAGAATTTTTTATTATTTGAGTTTTGTGAAATTAGAGAACTGAGAACATTTCAAAAACTCGTCACTTAACAGTTTTTGGGAAATTGTTATCTGAAGATAACTGATTCAACTGGACAAGCCCTAACCACCAATTCTGCGGGGGTCCAACTAACTTTTCATAAGCTTGTGAGAATTAAACCCGATTTATGGGTATTCTGGGAAACTCATATTATTAAGTGGCTTTGTAGTGTTCATTTCTTTGGGTCGTCGGTCACAACTCACAAGTCTTTGTCTTCATTTTCAACTTTACCTTCTGAAATGAAATACAGAAGAACAGCGCTGTGTCTGTGTGTGTTGACTTGCACGATAGAAGATCAGATTTGAAGACTAAATGCTAGGTAATTAAGCTTTGTATTTTGTCTTCTTTGCTTTATGTTTCGTGGATTTGCATGCTAGAGAACTTGATATTGATATTGATGATGATGATATTTGCTAATGAGAATGATCATGATGAAAACTTGATGCTTTAGATGGCTAAAATGTTGAAATATTTACTTATCTTTCATGTTGTTTGTTGCTTTATTACGTCTTTGTGCTTGATTAATTGTTGAAATTTGTGACTATGATAGCATTTTAAATTTATCCCCCATTTATTTAAGAAACAATTCAAAACCAGAATTCACTATCATTGTCACTTGCCAGCTTAATCTGGTGCTGAATCCACAATTTTTGCTTTGGATTTAAGCTCTGTGATACAAGTTATGTATCCAAATTCTTGTATATATGTTTGTGGGCTCGCGCGTGCTCGTGTGTGTATACATGTACCTAATACGGAACGAGACAGATCCGGTGCATTGAAAGTTTGCTGGACGGTCTATGACTTGCTGGTCCTGCAAGTGAAGAACATAATTTTAAAACTTTGTGAATAGTTTGTGCGATGGAGGATATTCTATATGCCTGGTTAGAGATCGAGAATTTGGGGTTTTCCCTCTTGTGGGTGTCTTGGGTCCTTTTTCAGTCCAAGTCTATCTTGGGGAAGGATCAGACAATCAGCCACCCCAAAAGAAGGGAGCTACGTCTGAGTTAAACTCGGAGATGGAAGTCTTCTTTTGTTTCTCGATGGTGAAGTAAGACCAGAATGGATGGTCTTATGTCTATTACCAGTTCTTCCTCCCAAGTTGAGACCGATCATTCAGATAGATGGGGGTAAACTAATGAGCTCGGATATTAATGAACTCTACCGAAGAGTTATCTATCAGAACGATACTCTTACCGATCTATTAACAAGCGATATTGTTTGGAAGGTGTGGCCTAGTTGGCTTTATGACTCCATCAATTCAAATCTTCTGGTAGGATACACTTAGCATTGAGTAAACTAAGGCATAAACTGAGCAACCAAACCAGAATCTTGCAAACCATAAATTAACTTTCCAAACCAAATTTAATGTTGCACAAGGAGTAATTAAGTCTGCAGATTGTTTTATATATTAATATTTAAAGCTTACGCCACATGCATAAGAGAACTAAATAAGTACATGGAAGTTAAACAAACCACCTAAACCAACCAAGACTACACAAACAACACTACATATTACAACTGTCTGCAAGCCAAAACAAAACCACCTAACCCAGCCCGCCCCACACCATATTAAATCTAAGGAAATAGGATATTTCGTTGCCTGTAGTTTGCAGGGCACCCCCTCCTCCCATTGTTTGGTGGACAGCGGATATAATTTGTCATATTGTAATTGAGACAAATATATATCTCATGAAGAACATCATTGCCATTGTGGGTTCTGCATGAAGCGTAAGCTTGGGCTCCTCCGATGTATCCTCCGACGGATAGGTTAACCGCATTCTCAATGGCTGATTTGCTGTAAAGGTTGTTGTTGCTGGGACACCAGATAAATAATAATGATTTAAGCCTCAAACAGTATGAATTCAAGTGGGAAATATTGGCACCCAAAATCAATGAACCTTGACTTTTGTAAATAAACAATTTGCTATAATTTATTCCTTTTTAGATTCTGTCTGTCTTATAAATTATTTGTGATTTCTGGAAAATGTTAAACAAGGACTTCATGGTTGAGTGCAGGTATATCTTCACAATGCCATATTCAAAATAATGGAAAAGAAAATTGCAATTCACAGTGTAATTTTGAATTTCATTACAACTTGCGGGTGAGAATCAAGTGGAGTACCCTGCACTTCCGTCTCCTTCAAGGAAAGAAGAGAGAAAGGGAGCGATGGCTGATCCTGCTGTTGGTTTTCTCTTGGAGAACCTGAAGCAGCTACTAGTCTATAATGTTGATTTGATTTCAGGAGTGAAGAAACAAGTTGAATCTCTTTGCACTGATTTTGATTTGATGCAAGCCTTCCTCAAGGACTCCAACGAGAAGCGGAGTGAGTACGAAACTCTGAGAGTGTTGGTGAGGAAAATCAGAGATGTGGCTTATGAAGCGGAAGACATCATTGACACATTCGTGGTTAACGCTGCTGTGCAGAAGGCAAGAAGCACCATGGGGAAAATCGTTCATGCTGTCGATTATACATTAACACTTCGCAGTGTCGCAAAAGATATTGAAGAGATCAAGGCAAAGGTGAAGGAGATCTATGATCATAAGATTTTTGGCATTGAAGTCCTTCAAAGTTCGGAGCCTTCCAAAAAAGGCTCATCAAAAAGAAAAGCTCCTGTTGTTGAGGAACATAATGTGGTGGGCTTTGATGACGAGGCAAAGATGGTAATAGAACGACTCACTGAAGGACCACAGGATCTAGAAGTTGTCTCAGTTGTAGGCATGGGTGGCCTGGGAAAGACTACTCTGGCCAGAAAAGTATACACTGATCCTTCCATTGAATATCACTTTTGTGTCCGAGCATGGACTTATGTGTCTCAAGTATATGATAGAAGGGAAATATTTCTTGGCATTTTAAATTCTCTTAACCTGCTGACAGACCAAATGTATAAAATGAATGATGAAAGGTTACGTGAAGAACTATGCACACAATTAAAGAATGGGAAATTTCTTATTGTCATTGATGATGTCTGGACCAAAGAGGCATGGGAGGATCTCAAAACGGCTTTTCCAAATTCCAATAACGGAAGCAGAATATTGTTGACAAGCCGAATTACAGAAGTTGCTTTGCGTGCTAACCACATCAGTCCTCCTCACTATCTGCGTTTTCTTACTGATGATGAAAGTTGGGAGCTACTTTGTAGAAAGGTTTTTCAGAGAGGAAGCTGCCCTTCAGAGCTGGAGGATCTTGGGAAAAAGATTGCAAAAAAATGTTACGGACTACCACTTGCAATTGTGGTAGTTGCAGGTCTTCTTTCAATACGGAAAGACAAAACACGTGATTGGTGGAATAGAGTGGCAGAAAGTGTGAGTCGTTATGCTGCTAAAGACCCAGAAGGTTGCATGGAGGTGTTAGCACTTAGTTACAAGCACTTACCTCATCATTTGAGAGTCTGTTTCATTTATTTTGGAATATTCCCTGAAGACTTTGAGATCCCTGTGTGGAAATTGCTCCATTTATGGGTTGCAGAGGGGCTCGTACAGCAAAAAGAGCAAGAATGGTTGGAGGATACCGCAGAAGAGTACCTGGAGTATCTGGTTGATAGAAATTTGGTACTAGTGGAGAAACGGAGGTTAAATGGTCGAATTAAGACATGTCGCATTCATGATATGTTGCGTGACTTGTGCTTGAGAGAAGCCACAGAAGAGAATTTTTTGAAGGAAATTAAAGGGAATGTACAAAGTCCTTCTTTGACACCAGATCCAAATCACCCTCGTCGCCTTTGTATCCATTCCCAAGTTTTGGACTATATTTCTTTAAAGCCTTCTGGTCCCCGTGTTCGATCTTTCTTGTGTTTTGCCTCAGAAGAGAGGGAATTACCCCGAGAATATACACCATTCATCCATGAAGCTTTTAAATTGATTAGAGTGTTGGATATAAGGTCCGTCAGTCTCTCCCGCTTTCCCAGTGAGATAATACAATTAGTTCATTTGCGCTATATAGCCCTTTTTGGTAAATTTAAGGTTGTTCCTTCAACAATCTCCAATCTTTGGAACCTACAGACTCTCATTGTTGAAACAACATCTCGAGACCTTGACATTCAAGCAGACATATGGAAAATGTTGTGGTTTAGGCATCTATATACAAGTGGATCGAGTCGTTTACACGGGCCTCCTGCCAAAACCCGAAAGGACATGGTAAGGAGAAACATACAGACCATTTCTACAGTTTCACCTGATAGCTGTACGGATATTATCTTAGCCAGGACTCCTAATCTAAAGAAACTCGGGATCCGTGGGAAGTTAGTTGCACTTATGGAGGAAAAGGCAGGGTCAAGTATGTTTGATAATCTTTCCAAATTAGATCAACTTGAAACATTGAAGTTGTTGAATGACACATTCCCTCGTCCTCCTCTTGAAGGTAAGCTTTCAGGCCTTCCTCAGTGGTACAAATTCCCACGAAACCTGAAGAAGCTAACTTTATCAGATACCTTTCTTGACTGGGAGCACATGTCTATGCTGGGAAAGTTACCCAATCTTGAGGTGCTAAAATTGAAAGATTTTGCATTCAAGGGACAGCGGTGGGTGCCACTTCATGGTGGTTTTCGTCTTTTGAAAGTGTTGCAGCTTGGGAGGACAGATTTAGTGCATTGGGAGGCTTCAGGTCATCACTTCCCTAGACTTCAACGAATCATTCTTAGACACTGCATAAACCTAGAGGCAATCCCTTTTGGCCTGGCAGATGTATCTGCACTCCAGATTATGGAGCTGTATTGCACCAGCTCTTCTGCTGCAATGTCTGCGAGGTTCATTCAGCAAGAACGAAAAGAAAAGCAACAAGAGCAGGGCATCATAAACAATGAGCTTAAGCTCCTCATATATCCTCCAGATTGGTGATCACGACTTCATGTCACGTTTGTGATTGGTGAGTAAACATTTTAAAATTTTAGTGAGTATTATTTTTTTTCACGCTTTTTACACATTTCTCTATACTTGAAACACTCGCGTTTGATCAGATTTATAATGTATTTATTGTATTATGTAAACAGTCACCAAAGGATCTTAACTTGCAATCTCCTCTATTTTTGGTAAGTTTTGGTGTCTGTGTGATGATCCCATGTTACACTCAAAATAATGCAATTTTGGAGGACTGTAACTTAAGAGTGGGATAATGTGTTGGATATACTTTAGAAGGGATGCATCTTGTCTACTTCTTATATTTTACTGTAAAGATGGACAACTGGAGTGAAGCTTAATTTTCTATATATAAAAAATTACTATACCTTGTAATATAATTTCTGTCTAACAGGCAACAGGAGAAGTAATTTACCTATTTGAATTCTGATATGCCAAGAAATTCATTCATATAAGATCCAAAAAAATTTGATATAGTTGTGATGGTCTAAGATTACTGTTATATGCTTGATATTATTATACGTCAATATACTTCCTAGAAGTAGCAACTTGCTTGTTCTATTGATGGAACTAGTTCAATTTTATCAGGACTTTGTAGCTAAAAATTAGTGAATGGTTTTATTTTAATGGATCCTGTTGTCTTTTTTACATAGAAAGATTGACAAACTCTAAGAAAACCAAATTGGCTATTATGATCAAGTTTTCTTTGACATTGACCACATCAGCCCTAAGAAATCCATTCCTTTCCAAACTAATTCGTTATGTGTTGATATGACATATTTAATTTGTTAATTGATCTTCCAAGGAAAACCAATTTTTTTTTAAACATATGGTCATAATTATGAATAATATTCATTTTGAAATACTTGTTTGAGAATGGTGAATGTTCTGGCTCTAGTTTCAGATGTCTCTCTTTTCCTTCCCAACTTTTCCCCCTCCTTTCTTGGAACACATGTTAGCTCAATGGTTCTCCCATTACACCACAAGGGCTAGACAACCATGGTGATAGCAATCTTCTTAATTGTACCATAAGTATTTCGCTTATAATCCCATAGGGTTTGGGCTTCTTTTGGGAATGGTCATCCTGAAGTTCCACGTAGTTTCAATGGGAATAGATTCATGTTAGGTCGAAGGCCAACCACACCTTTGACTTCAAGTTGAGAATTTAAACTTGGGTTAGATCTGTGAGGTCAGATTCATCAGGTTGAGGTTGGCAAGTAATTTATTTATTTATACATGCATTATAAATGGTTATTGTTGCATATCTTGTGGAATTGTCTCTTAAGGGCCTCCGTTGCAATTTTCGTGGACCACATTCTCATCTACTGCATTTCTCACTTTGGTGCAGGGAGATGGTGCAACTAATAAAGTTAAGAAGCTGGGCCAAATGGCCATCTCTAGATCCACATATGCGGACTTCTTATGGTATCTTTTTTATACATATATTTATGTTTGTTGCAACAGCTAAGGCATTCTGGCTTCTTGCTGTTCCTGTTGTTTTTGTAATTGTTTGGTAAAATGCTAACTATGAGATTTGTACCCTTCATTATCTTAGCAGTTCGGCAACATTCTTTTTGTACTTGCTGTTATTGTGCTTATTGTTTGGGAACAATGCTATTATGAGGCTTGCAATTACTTATCTTTGGGAATGATACTGTGTACTAGAGGGATTTTGAGACATGCGTGAAGTGGCTTCTTTTCAACTCAAACTTGTGATCTCATGCTTACTAGTCCGAGCTTTTACCAGCGCATCAAGCAATGATCTCTATTCTGTAACTAAGTGGAAAATGAAACTATGTTTTCTTCAATTTTGCCTACTTTGTCTTGACTGGTGGAATGGTCAGAGAGTGAATGGAAGAAAGTATGTGGATTGGCTTGCTTTATTTGATTTTATATTTGGTAAGCAAAAATTTTATTTTATTTTCAATCAGAACGGCTTCGACATTGTAGCGACGATGTGGGCGGGTGTGCCGTGAGCAGGTGCAAGAGGCACTGAAAGACTATTACACTAGGCGAGTTACAGGTGCACAATCTCACATCGCCTTGGAAAATGGGAAGTGCTATATTTATAGATGTGTCACTCCAATTGGTATGAGGCCTTTTGGACTAAAGTCTAAGAGCAAAACCGTATGGGCTTTAGTCCAAAGCGGATAATATCATACCATGTTGTGGAGTAGGTGGGCACTACCACAGGGGAATAAACTTTTTTGTAGCTGTAGCTCTCGTTTACCTGATTCGTTAATGGTTGATGCTCTTATTTTTATGGAAGTTGTTCATTGGTCTTGTAGCGGCAAGTGTCTTGCTGCCTGATGAAATGAGAAGAGCTGTTCAGTGGTCTTCTCTTTTGTCTAGGAAAAAGAGAAGTTACTTGCCAAAATCTCTCTTTTGGACTAAAAATCTAAATATTGTACAGCTTTTTCTTTTTTCCCCAGGAAAACAAATCAAATATCATTAGATCAGAAATAAAACAGTCACATACAATCTTCAGCAGCTTCCATGGGCACAAAATATGAAATAGTCCATCACAAATAGACTCTTCTTGGCCATAAGACCTGAGGCTGCTAATACATGAGCAACCCTATTTGCTTCTCTACCCACATAAAGAAAGAGTAAGATTCATATAAAGAAGCATAGATCCTAATCAACTGGACTCTCTTGTCTTTCCTTGAAGAGTCCAAATCAAGACCTGAGCATCACCTTCCAAGACCACTCTACTGTTGGGAAAACGGAAGTTTTTAAAACTTTAAGAATGATTTTCAAATAAAGATCTTAATTCATGTGTAGAGACAAGTTTTATGCATAAAGAATATAATGATCCATTCAATTTAGGGATAGAAAACTTACATCAAGGTTTGAGTAAATCGTAGATCTCTCCTCTAAAGTGAATGTTTTCACTTATTGTAGATCCTTTTGCTAGATACCTCTTCCATAGATCTCCATATTGTTGGTAATGATCTTACTTTTATGAATCACCAATAAGCCTCTACGAATGACCTTGGAAAGCTAAGCTTGTGGAAGCCTTCATCAGATGAGAACTCTAGAGAGAAAAAAACTTTTCTTATCTTCTAAAAATATTGTACAAAGGCGTTGCCTAAAATATACATGGACCCATGTATATATAGACAAAACAAAAATAATAATTAAAGACAATATATTTTTCTCAATCTCTAAAATTAACGTGATACCTCAAATCTAATGGACCTCCAATATCAAGTTGAGTTATGAGTGACAATCCTTTGGGTTTATTATTTTCTTGGCTACACGAATTAATAATTGGCCCGGTCCATGAATCCAATTCAATTAATTCATAAATTAATTTATACTCTATTAAAAGAAATTAATTGAACTCCAATTAAATAATAAATAACATCTAAGTTAATGTTGCATTTTGACCCCTCTATGCATAATTAGTTATTGGATAAATAAAGTTATCAATCCGACTACTAAATTAATATATTTATTTTGGTACCTTTGATTATTTCTGGCTTGATTACAATAAAATATTTGTTTGACAAAAATAATAATTTAAATAAATAAATATATAGAAAATCATTTTGTCTAAAAACACATGAAGGTGTTCCAATTTATTTTGTTATCAACCATAATCAATACAAAATAAATACAAATAGCAATAATGCAAATATTGAAAATATAACTCTCTAACTATTAATTACATAATTACTGTAATACCCCGATATTTTAAAGAATTTATTAATTAGAATTAATTATTATTATTATTATTATTTTGTTTTAAATGATTTAATTTGAATTAATTGTGTTTATTTTAATTTTAATTGATTTGTTTTATTGGATGCTTAGATTAATTGTTTTATTTATATTTCGTGAATTATTGTTATGATGATTGTGGTGTGTGTACTTAATCATTGATTGAATTGTTAGCGTGTAGTTATGATGTGACTTAGTTATACATTCTTATTTGTTTATATGGGTTATGTAATTAGTTATTTTAATTTAAGTGTTTATTTAATTATTTTATTTATTTAAATTATTTGGACTGGGCTTTAAGGGAGATTGGACCAAAGGACATGGTCTTGGACTTGGATGAAGCCTTGATGGGTTAATTAATAAAGACCTATGGTTATTTGATTATTTAAATGATCATTTTTGTTTATTTTATTATATATAAAAATAATAATTAAATAATAGGGGTTACGGAAGGATATATGTTTATGGATATATATATAGGATTTATGATTTAATTAACCGATAGTTAATTATGGGAGATATATATATATAAGTAATATAATATATGTTTATATATCTATTATATTATTTAAATAGTATTAGTTTATTATTTTATTTGGTAGTCCCACTAGGAATAGGATTTAGGGTTTAATGTGTATAAATATACACATAAGGATTATAGTTAAAAAGTTTACACGTTAAAAAAAATTAAGAGAGACAGAGAGAGAAGAAGAAGAGAAAGTGGACAAGGAGTAGGCCAGATCTGAAAAAGAGGATGCCGGAATTGAAGGAGATAATTAAATATTAAAGCGTCGATTTTGTTTCGAAATCTTTAGGCAAGTTCTTTTCTAACTCTCCTCTTAGGACCCATAAATTTATCACCTTGAGTGCCAAAATTCTTACTAAATTCATTAATTAAATCATGTTAGATAGGAATAATTAAAAATATAAATTTTTATATTTGAATTGTGGGTTTATCGGATTTTCATTGTGTATATAGGTGTTGTATATATTTAAAAATCAAGTTATAGGTTTGATCGGTGACCCAAGAGGGTTAATTATGTTTTCTGGAATTTTTCTAGAATTTTCGGAATTTTTCTGTATTTTTTCTGGATTTGGTTTATATTTTTCTGATAATTTTAGAATTATATATACAATTATTTATGTGTATAATTATATATATATATACATTGTATACTGCTGGGTTTAAATCGGCGCATTAACTAAGGGGCGGCGATTCGGTGTGGTAAGGTTTATAGTGCTACGGTGTGCCCCAAATCAGGACCATTAGATGGTCCTGATGAACAAGGAATAATCTAGTGTGGATGTGTGCATGGGAGATGACACATAAGCTGATCTGGACCGTTGGGTGTAGAGGATGGATGCTGGATTGATCTAGTGCATCGCGGCACATAGAGACATAGTGCATGCACGTCTATGGACCGTAGATAAGGTCTAGTCAACAAGTAAATGATCTGGTGTGGCTCAGCTCAACAAAACAAGGAGTACCAATCAACTAGAGAACGCCACGTCATCCAGAGGAGTAATCAAGCGCGTGTGCAGCGCGTGAGAGCGCGTGAAGCCACGTGCTGCTTATGGAGGCGCGTGCAGAGGCTTTAAGCACGTTTGGCGGCACGTGGGGGTGCGTGAGGTGGTGTTTGGAGTCCCGGAAAGGCCCTGTGGGGTCTGGTGAATTCCTAGATTTGAATATAAGCCTGTTAGGGTTGAAAATAACCACTAGAGGAGGTGTTCTTGGTATTCTGAGAACCACAGAGTGTTACTACGAGGATTAGTAGCATTTATTTAGAGTAAATATAGTAATCTATTATATTGTTATGAAAGGTGTGTATATATGTGTATATATATATATATTTACATACATGTGTACACATGGTTTTTTTTTATTTAATTATGATTAGTATGGAAGGAAGGATATATATATATATGGTATTTGAATAATCGAAGATTATTAGGGAAGGATTTGTACACGTATATATTATATAATATACGTGTATATAATATATGTATGTTAATTAAGATTATTAGGATTATTATTCTTATTTAATATATTTGGCTAAACTAGTTATTAAGTTAAGTATGTGCTTATAATCTGTATGAGATATTTATGTATAAATTAGTTATTGTTGAGCTTACAATTTGTACATGGATGAGTTGCCATAGGCGTAATTATATTGCCTGGGTATTTGTATGAATAAAAATACACACATAGGAAGCATGGATGAGTTGCTAGGTTATTAGTATAAATATATATACTTAGATGAGGCATGGTTGAATTGCCAAATGTATAAATAAATATACTTAGAGAAGGCATGATTGAATTGCCAAAAGTATAAATAAATATACTTAGAGGAGGCATGGTTGAATTGCCAAAGGTATAAATAAATATACTTAAAGGAGGCATGGTTGAATTGCCAGTATATAAATAAATATATTTATAATGGCATGGTTGATTTGCTAAAGTGTAATTATTGCCATGTGTTAGATGATTAAAATATATCATCTACGGTCATTGTATGTATAGGTTGGACTAGGATTAGATATTCTTAAGTTTGAATAGTCTAATACTTACAGGTTAGTGAATTATTTAATACATATTAATAAAATAATACTGGTTGTGACATGGATGATTTGTCAAAGCCTAGATATTGGCTGTGTGATTTAAATACTTTTAATCATTATTGGTTTTGGGAATTAAATATAATGTTCTTTTAATTATATTTTATTGTTTAAATGATTAAATTACTGTTTAGGATGGAATTAGGATGATTGGAGTTTATTTTATAAGAAAATTATAAATGATAGATTTGGTCTAGGTATGATTAATAATTAATCGTTAGTGAATGGTATTAACAATTTAGTGAACCTATTAATAGATAGGATTACTGTTTTATATAAAAGTATTTATATATATTGGTAGCATCTTATATTAAAGGTTAAAACTTTAATTAGGATGATTTTGGTTAGAGATGTTTTATTTATTGGTTTTCAGAGGCTTGGTAGAGGGAACTTGCTTGTGTGTCTAACCCACGATTTATTTTTTCAGGTTATTAAAAGTTCCAGTCTCGAGGTTGAGGATCCGCAGCTGGGAGACTGTCATTCATCTACTCATTTTGTTTACCTTTAATAGTATAGTTATTTATTGTTAGATATTTTATATAAACTGGTGGATTATTAGATTATGGTTTAGGGGTCCTTAACTTA